AGAGATGGAGGTTTCGGGGAAAAAAAAGATATATTGCAGTGATATTAATTATCAAATATACAGCATAATATTAATTTTCCTCACTAAGCAGTATGAAAACGAACAAAACAAAGAGAATAATTTATAAAATAACAACATGATAAAGAAAAACAAAGACATATTTTTTTTTAATATAGCCACTGTGTGGATTTATTTTGCTTGACAATGCTTATTTCTTACAAGGGTCACTCCTGCACACTTTCTTTTCCTCTGGAGTAAGAATTATGAGAGAGAAGGTTAGCAACAATGATTTTTTTAAAAGAGGAGCATTGAACAATTTTTTAATATTCACGGAAGAGAAGACAAAGAAACTCAGAAGGAAGCATAGACAAGCAGGACAGTTTTAAAAGTAGTAGAATTTATTATGAGTTTTTTAAAAAAATAAGATGTATGAAGTAAATATTTACGTGAAATATTTTTGTGCTCTGTTGTATGTGTGGGAATATCCTCCCCGCCCCCTTGCTCTTTTTGGTGTTTAGGTTCAAAATAAAAAAAAAATTTTAAATCATTTTCTATAGCAGTCCCATTCAAAAGATACCACATATTTTTCAGCTCTAATTTCTTCAGCAATTTGTTCAATTCTGTATTTTCCTTTCTGTTAATCTTTTTATTAGATTTGTCCAACACTATAAGAAACATAAAGTCTTCTACTATGATCATGTGATTATCTATATCTTCTTACAATTAATTTCTTAGTTACGACTTTAGATGTCATTTGGAATGTGTAAGCTTAAGATTTGTTGCCTTTGGTTCCTTCCAGCATAATGTCATTTCCTTGTTTATCTCTGTTTATATTTTGAATTTTTGTTCTTGCTTTGTCTGATTGCAACTCCCACTTTTTTGGGATTCACTTTATGTATAGTAAATTTTTTCTGGGATTTTTTTCTGTCTTCATTTTTTTTCTGTGTAACATTATTTTCTTATCTAATCTGTCAAACTTTCATTTTGTTCGATTATTTAGTCCATTACATTTAAAATTGTAATGGGGCTTAATGAATGCAGAGACCCCATCAGCTTCCTCTCCTGATGCAACCTTTCTGCAAGGTGAATCATGATGATACATAAAGAGATGTTCACAACTGGTTCTGGTTAAGTAGCCATGTGATGAGTGGGAGGCTCTTTGACAGTATACAAAGGCATTCAAAATATGTCAGCTTCAGCTGCTTTCCCTTTGCTTCACATCAGAAAGAGCACAAAGCTTTAAGGCCTTCTTCCCCTCTGAGGCCATTTGCCCCTGAGAAACAGGGCAATGTTTTTGTTTCTTATCCTCTATTCTAGGTGAAGGGAGTGGAATCTCTGACCTTGGGGGTTTCAAAGGCAGGGAGAGCAAACCACAGAAATCCAGGAAGGCAGGTTGACTTTGTAGCCAGTACAGCATCAAGGAGCCTAGAGTGACCTTTACCCTTTGGGAAGAGGAAATTCTAGACCATCTGGAGGGTTCACCCAGCAGGAATCCACATCTGGACCTGACCTTGGTGGAACCAAAGCTTGTAGAAAATGAGCTAATTTTTAAGCCTACTCCCCCAGAGAACAAGGTGGTATAGGGGAGAGTATGCTCCAAAGATAATATGGAAATTGTTTTCCTTTCCATTAGAAATAAATATTCCTTTGTAAAAGCTAATGGGTGTTAAGTGATTAAATAGAACCAGTGTTAGTAATTGGTGACTAAAAATAGGAGGAACACAATTGTAGGGACTCGAGCCAATGGCAATAGGGAAAAGAATACCCATCAGCTACTCAAGGTTATCCCCTGAAACCCTGAAGAGCAATTTGACCAGGGATGTGCTAGAGCTCGCTCATATTGGCTCACAAGAACTTACTGTTAAATTTCAGTGTGAGCATTTACATCTCAGAAATCAGCAAATGTTACAAATCAGGGCTTGATTTATTGTTTTCTTGAATGTCTAGGCCCAAGAAAGTGAGAGAGAAAATGTTAATAATACAAGTTAAACTTAAAAGTGAGTTATGCCTACTTTTTTTAAACAGGGAGCTGGTGGCTAAACATTTACCAGCCCACCCCTGGATACTGTTTGACCCTGAGAGGGTGGAGCTACACCCCATGTTACATATGGGGGTTTGTTAGAGTATAGCTTATATTTTTCTTCATTTGTGTCTCTAGTATTGGAGGATTTTTGTGTGTGTGAGTTAGGATTCTTTTCTGTTTGTCTTTCAATGCAGTACCTTGTCCCTATGAGGAGTTTTGCTTGATCTACTTTAAGACAACCCTATACCCAGAGGCTCTCTTCCTCTTACTCTCGACTGCTCCCCTCCTTATTTGTCAATCCTTTCCCAGGTTTTAGAGTTTTACTTAATTTGTTGATTCATCTTTCTTTTTTTTACTTATTTACCTAATTTTCTTTTTCTCCTTATTTTTCCCCATTTTATTTTAGTTAACTAAAAATTTCTCCTCCTCTTTTCCTCTTCAACTTTTCTTTGTTAATAGTCCTAAACATTGACTCTTTAATTCATGGTCTATATACTTATGTAGTTAATGTAAATTCCGAGGATCTTTATCCCAATTTCCACTCCCACTGAAGATTTGGGTCCCTGGAATTTAGCTATATTCCCTCAGGGTACTAGGAATGCTGCTGTGGGATGAGGGATGATTCACTAAAGCCATCATTGTGAGCTCCCACTGGTGTATTTCCCTCTAAAGTAATCAGTTGAGAATCATTTTTGTAAGCCTATCTTAAATAACTTTTAGAAAAGTGATACAGTAAGAACAGTGGGTACAAAACATTCCTCCCCTTTCTCAAAAACATCAGTGACACTGTTCTACAAGTACCTACAGAGCGCAACAGAAAATGGACTCAAGCTTTGGGAACATGTGTGGCAAAGGTGTGATTCACAGCACCTAGGTGCTGGAAACATTTGTCTCCAGCTCAAGAAATTCCTTTTTCATGTGGTGGTGAGTCTGCAGCCGTCTGTCCTTGAATCCTGATGCAGATGCTGCTAGGGATGTAGCAAAGACAATGATGAGAAGATAGGAAGCTCAAAATCCTCCTGCTCCTTCAAAGCTTGCAAGGTGCTTTAGCTGAAAAGGACAGGGAGGACAATTGGCTAAAGCTGAAACTGAAGCTCCCCATCCCAGCCTTTGCCACCACCCTTCCCACCAGTTCCTCTTCAGAAGTGTGCTGCAAAGTCACAATTGCTCCAATTTCTAGAAATCAATGCTTTATTAACTCATTTGATAATTTACAGATGGTCCCTGGGGCATGGTTAGGTTTCCTCATCCTATCCAAATATGATTCTTTTGTAACATAATTCCAGTGCCTTTTAGCACTTAGTCTAAGGCAGCAGTTGCCCTGCCTTTTTTGTTTTTCATGGACCCTTTTGACAGTCTAATAAAATCTATGGACCCTTCTAAGAATAATGACTTAAATGCATAAATAGGATTGCAAAGGAAACTATATTTAAATATAATAATATAGTTATCAAAATGTGTTTTGAAAACCTAAGTTCACGGACCTCAGGTTTGGAACCTGCAGTCTAAGATCTATGAATAACTAATTGACTGATAGATGATCTTCCCTAGATAAATTATTGAGGCTAAAGTGAAGTGAGATGGTTTCAACCTCACCGTTACACTTATTTACTCTTCCTTTACTTCTATATGTTTCTCATGGAATTAAAGCTTTTTATAGGACCTAGATTGGGTTCCCCCTTCTAACCAATTTCTATGTCATTGCCTTGCAGATATTGTCCTTTTATCCTTTTTTTTTTTCTGTTGAGCATCACTCTTAGGTGTATGAATTAGGATACCACTTCACAGAAGAAAATTCTCTGTGTCTCAAATCATGTAGTCCAGTTTTACCCTCTGCCTTGCCCATAATAATTTTCTTTCCCATTTGTCATGTGTTCTCCTCTCTAGATCCTTTTCCTCCTGCCCTTCTGGGTGTTAGTTGCCCCAAGGAGTTCTAATTTCCTTTCTATACAGGCACAGAACTCTGAGGAAGTAGCCTCTTTGCACACTAACTCTCTTTAGATTAGATCTATTGTGAGGTCATCTTAATAATTTATTCCATTCTTGATTAAGCTTAAACAAATAGATCTAATGAGTATAAAAAGAGAAAAGTACTTGCAACAACTTTGCAGTGTTAGAGTTAATGAATTGCCTTTATGTATGTACTTTGGGCACATATATTTTCTACATGGCTGCCCTTGCCACATTACTTCCCACATAGATATTCCAATTGATGATGTATGCATTTAGGGGATAACAGATTTGAGTTTAATGCAGAGAATATTTTGTTGTGGTTTTTATTACTATTTTGTTCTGTAAAATGCCTTTGCTTTGACTCAGTGTGTCCTCTGGCTGACTAGTCAAAGTAAATATACTGGGGAGAGCTTATGAGAAATGATGTGGAGAATTATCTGCTCCACAAAGAACCTGGAATAATTTTCTGATGGCCCATAAATGAGGAGGTTCTGGATACTATCCTAGCTGGGATATGTTCAACAAATCAGCACCAACAGCTAATTTCATCCCCTGTAAAGTGAGGGCGTTTAACTCAATGCCAGAATACTTTTTAACTATAAAATCCACTGAATCAGGATATACTTTATTAATAGCTATATATTTTTAGAGATCCAGACTTACAGTCAAGATAGTTTGGGTTCAAATCTTACCCCTGACATATTTCCAGCACCATGAGTTTATTGGCAAATTGCTGATTTGCATCAGTGGAAGTAGTTCCCACACTGGGAATTCTTACACTTGTGAAATCACAGGTTCAGGACTTTATCCTCCACCTCCCCCCATATCAGGTAAGAAAAGCCGTTTCTAGGTGTTACCTTTGTTTGTTTTCTTAGAGCTATTTTTAGTAATATAAATTGGGTGTGGTATCTTCATTCATACCAACTAAAAATTAAAAAGAACCTGAAAAAGTTTAATGCAAAATGCCATTCACATATGATTACTTAGGATTTAAATAAGCAAAATACATGTTTTTCTTTTTTAGTGCTCATCAATGATCATATTGAGAATCTTCTTGCTTTTCTACACCGTGGCATCTTGTACGCAGAAATGAATTTCTGGGGGCTGGCAGTTGCAGACTTTGAAAGTGTACTTGAGCTAGACAGGTCCTTTTCCCCTTTTTGCGTAAGATTAAATGAGAACGGAATAAATAAGTATGACTATTTTGTTTTATATTTACCAATGATAGTTAAATACAAGGAAAAGAAAAGAGGCAGTTATAGAGTTATTGGATTATGATAATATCTAAAAATAAGATATCCTTAACTTTTACATTTTTAATTTAATATATTTTTGAGGTTGCATGGGTCATAAAGGTTATAAAGAAAGATTTTCAGGTTATAATCTTTTTGAGGTTACCTACAGTTAAAAATAGTTGCCCCATTTTGTCACAAAATATCCCTTGGTGTTAGTGTCAAAAATAAAAATGCTAAGTTGGATGAACCCTTCGATCTCCAATTCTTAGCCACCACAAAAAGAGCTGCTATAAATATTTTTGTACAAATATATCATTTTCCCTTTTTCTGGATGTCTTTTGGATATAGGTCTAGCAGTGGTATTGCTGGGTCAAAGGGTATGCACAGTTTTATACCCTTTGGGTTCCAAATTGTTCCAAATTGTTTTCCAGAATGGTTGGATCAATTCACAACTCCACCAGCAGTGTCCCAGTTTTCCCACATCCCCTCCACCACCCAACATTTTCCTTTTTTGTCATATTAGCCACTCTGATAGGTGTGAGGTGGTACCTCAAAGTTGTTTTAATTTGCATTTCTCTGATCAATAGTGATTTAGAGCATTTTTTTCATATGAATATAGATAGCTTTGATTTCTTTGCCTGAAAACTGCCTGTTCATCTCCTTTGACCATTTATCAATTGGGGAATGACTTGTATTGTTATACGTTTGACTCAGTTCTCTATATATTTTAGAAATGAGGCCTTTATCAAAGATATTTGCTATAAAGATTGTTTCCCTGCTTTCTGTTTTCCTTAAAATTTTGGTTGTATTAGTTTTGTTTGTGAAAAAACTTTTTAAGTTTATATAATCAAAATTATCTGTTTTACATTTTGTAATGCTCTCTCTATCTTCTTTGCTCCTAAATTCTTCCCTTATCCATACATCTTGATACCTTTCTTGTTTTCTTTCTCTATTTTTGATTTCCCATAGGTTTTCCCATATGATGGTAATTAGGAGAGGGAACGCCTCTGAGCTCCCACAAGGGCACAGGATCAGCTCTGAGTAGCAAATATTAGCATACAGTCTTTGTTCCATTGGAAAGGACCTTTTTATTCCTTTACCTGGAATGGAATTTTGTCATACTAATGTACATAACTGTTTCAAAATTTTAAGCGTTTAAAACAATATTTTGTTACAGTAATATGAAAAACATTTTATTGCATATAGGATTATGTAGGTAAGTTGGTGTAACAGACACTATTAATAACCAAATTAATGAACTTTGTATTCCTTTTTTTTAGAAACATATCTTTTGCTTTTATAAATATTGGCATCATATACCTGTTGCACATGGACAAGTACTTTGAAGCAATTCAGCAGTTTACAGAGGCTATTCGAATTGATCCTTTGTATATTCAAAGCTATCTTTGCCGAGCACAAACTTATCATAAGGTATTAAGAGTTTGGTACTTAAAACAATTAAAAATTTGTTGAACCAATATGAAGTTATTTTTAACACATCAAACCTTTTTTTCCTCAGCGTTTTAAAAACATGATATATTGATCCATGTTCCCTTTAATTAATCATTACAAAAATTAAAACCTTTTTAGACTATAATTTCTCCTTACCCAGTTACATCTCAATCCCTTCTCTTCTCCCTGAATCCCTTGCTCCTCAAACCCTCACCTCCTTGAAATATGGCTTCTTCCCCCACTGACTGACAATTTTTTCCCAAGGTCACCACTGACCTTTTAGTTGCTAAATCCAGTGACTTTTTCTTTCCTCATCTTTCTAGATCTTTCTGCAACATATGACACTACTAACTATTCCTTCCTTCTTAATACTGTCTCCCTTGTCTTTTGGGACATTGTTTTCTCTAGGCTCTCCTCCTAGCTATCTAATCATTCCTCCTTGGACTCTCTCACAGGTTCATCCATTAATTCATCCAATACATACATACATAGGCATACATACATACATTTGAGTTAGGCTTTAAATGACAGATAGGAATTCAACAACTTAAGAAGGTATGTAAGGCATAGAAAACAGCATAAGCATAGACACAGAGGTAAAAGACTACAGAGTGTGTTAAGGGTCCATAGAGCAGTTCAGTTTAGCTAGAGCACAGAGTACATGGGAGGGAGTAATATGCTATAAGGATGGAAAGGTAGAATGTTGCCAGTACGGTGGAGAATGAGGTCACTGTGTACTAGAGGAGGTGCTGCCAAAGCTATATCCACTCACATCTGAATCATTCTCCAGTTTTCTCCTGAAAAAGAACATCCAAGAACAGCTGGCTGCTTCTCCCCCAGGGATAACTGAGGGTTTGGGGGGATAGTTTTATAGTACTATAGCTCATGAGCCCCCAGTAATGTGGGTCCTCCACTGTGATTATATCAGTTGGCATCAATTAGTAAGCCAGATTTTTTTTTAAAATTTCTTTTATTTTTAATTTATGAGATCAAACAAGCATTTCCACAACATAGTAGAGCAAAAAAAAAAAAGATGATTGCACAGGAAACTGCAAATCTAGTATGTACAACTTGCTATTCCTTTTAAATATATAATAGTTATCATATAACTTTCCTCTTTTTCCTTCCTTCTCCCCCTCCCCCACCCTGAGGATGGCTACCATTAGACACAAATATGTATATGTCTGTAGAGTCGTTCTATGCATACTTCTATTTATCAGTTATTTCACTAGATGCAGATAGCTTCTTCCATCATAGGTCCCTTGTAGTTAATATGGATATTTATAAATAGTAAAAATTACTTATTCACTCAAAGTTGTTCTTAAAACAATATTGCTGTTACTGTACACAACTTTCTCTTGGTTCTGCTCATTTTGGTCTTCATTATTTCATGAGTTTGTCTATGTTTTTCTAAAATCAGTGAGCTCATCATTTCTTATAGCACAACAGTATTCCATCACAATCATATGCCACAACTTGTTCAGCCATTCTCCAACTGACAGGCATCCCTGAAATTTCCAGTTCTTTGCCACCACAAGAAAGAGCTGCTATAAATATTTTAGAAAATATAGGTTCTTTTCCTTTTTCCCTAATCATCTGCCTGATTTCCCTCCTATATTGTCAGACTACAGCACAGATTTAATTATCTCTTAGATAATGAGATAACGTATTTTAGATAATTTAGATAATTTAAATTAGATAATTGTGCTAGGTGGCACAGTGGATAGAGCTCTGGCCTTAGAATCAGGAGGACCTGAATTCAAATCCAGTCTCAGACACTTGACACATGTGACCCTGCTGGGCAAGTCACTTAACCCCATTGCCTCACCAAAAAGAAAAAAAAAAGAAATGGAAATTTACCAAATTGGCATAGTATAAATAGTTGGTGCAAACATTTCCCTAAACCAGGAATATATTCACTCACAAGTGCGTACAGTGTCCAGGGGAAAGTGGGCTCAAGTTTAGAGAGTATATATGGAGAAAGAGTAACTCAGAGCTCTTGGTTTCTGGAAGTCCTTTTTGCCCCTTTGTAAGGTACTCATGAAGTTCCCCTTGAGCAGGGAGCAACTTTCTGTTGGGTTTCTAGTGGAGTTATGAAGTTTTTTTTTCCTCAGGTCATCTAATTTGTTTTTGCTTCCTAATACACATGCTGCTGTCAGCCACTGCTGTTCTGGGAGCTAGGATGCCCATGAGAAGTCTAAAATTTTCTAACTTTTAGAAATTCACAAGGTCATCCTCTGGTCAAGGGGGAGGAAGAAATAGGTCTCCCCGACTCCCAACCCCATATAATTCCCTTTTGAGGGTCTTGGCTTAAACAGTTTCCACTACTGGGTTAACTTCCAATTAGAACACCTGGTTCCAGATTGTCTTGCTATTTTATCCAAGTCCCACAAGGTACAAATGAATGTCATCAAACTGATCCCAAATGCACTTCCTTTGCAGTGTCATTTTATTTCAACCAATGGCTTTCATTCCTTCCAAATTCTCTTTAAAATGTCTTTGACTGACTGATTAAATAAAGATGTTTTCAGGATTTGATCAGTCCTCCCCACCTTTACTTACAGAAAACTTGAATTTTACTGAAATTTACTAACCAAAAGGAGTGTGATATATTATTTGGCCATTGAGTGGCACTCCAACCACACACTCAACCTATTTCTTTCATCTGCCTGATCTCTCTCCTATATTGTCAGACTGCAGCTGGCCCCAGGTTCTTTATGATCTAGAATATGCTATAAAAATTACCCCAAATAGGAAACACTCATCTCTATTCCTCATTTGCTAGCTGACATTCATAGATTTAAATAGTTTGTTCTTTCCTTTCTTAATGGCTACAGGCTTTATTTAAACAATCGTCTATCATAAAGGGGAAAAAAAGTTGTAAAAGACTTTCAAAGAGCAAGCTGCAGGATTCTTTGCTGCTTGGATTGACTCCTTTTTTGTTTCTTCCTGCTACACCTCCTGCCAGCAAGTAGAAGAGGGAAGGATTTGGCAAGCTTTAGAACTCATCAAGGTTTCCTCCGCAATGGCTTAGGGAGGAGAGAGGAAGAGTGGGAGGGAGGAGGGGAGGGACAGAGCAAAGAAGTGCCCTTCAAATGCAGCAACACTCAAAAGGAAAACTCAAAGCAGACCTTGGACAGGTGCCACTTTTTTTCCACCTGGTACCTACGAAACTCACAGCAGGAAGTGTCCTAAAGGATAAAAGAAACTAAAACTCAAGAACTCTGGGAAGTGTATGCCCGTACACATTTACTAGCTCTCCCTAAATCTCTTTGATCCCAGTGACTGCCTACAGGTCTTAGAAAAGCACCATTATGCCAGATTGTGCCAGGCCTTACATGCCAGACAAAGACATTGAAGGTTTATGAAAAGAGGAGGCTTTTGACCATATCTATGGGTAAAGAAGATCATTTTAGCACTGGTATAAAGAATGAATGGGGTGGAAGTGGGAAGATCTGTTAGGAATCTCTTACAACAGTTCAGGTCTGTGGTAATAAAGGATGGTAGGGGAAATACACAAGACATATATTAGATTTTGAAGAGGTAGAATTGATAGTAATTGGCAACTGTATATGAGAGGCTGAAAATGACTGACAACAACTGAACAACAAGAAGAGAGGTAGTTAGGTGGCACAGTAGAAAGAGTGCCTAGCCTGAAGTCAGGAAGACTCCTTTTCCTGAGTTCAAATCTTACCTCAGTTACTTACTAGCTGTGTGACCCTGGGCAAGTCACTTAACTATTTGCCTCAGTTTCCTCATCTTTAAAATGAGAAGGAAATAGTAACCCACGTGAGTATCTTTGCCAAGAAAACCCCGAAAACTTAGTAATGAAGACACAATTGAAACAATTGAATATGAAAGGTGAAGGACAGAGGAGTCTCTTCGTTTGTAAACAGGGGAGACTGGATAAATAACAGTGCCAGGTATAGAAAAAATCATGAGAAGAAAATTTAGGGAAGGAAGAGAAGGAGCTTAGTTAGGTATATGTTGAGGTTGGGGCGCTCCTGGAATGGTTGTTCCATTAGACAAGGGGAAGCCATAAGAGTGATTGTCAATGACAAGAGACAAGAAAAGAAGACCAAAGAAAAATCAGATACTTGATTTGTCAGAGAAATGAGATGAGGTCTTATGTGATACCTATGATCTTTCCATTTGAAGACACCACCTTCCTTCATGAAATCCAGATACACAACCTCAGAATAATACTTTATTTTTCACTTTCCCTCAAAACCCACCTCTATACCCAATCAGATTTCAAGTCTTCCTAATTTTTATCTCCAAAATATCAGATGATACTTCCTAGGATCATTTCTTTGCTTCTACTCATTCAGTTTTTATTACTTCTTCACTGGATTATTACTCTAGCATCCTAAGTGGTCTCCCTGCTTCTAGTTTCTCTTCTCTCCCCCTCATCCCCCAAACAATAATCTTCCTAAAGCATAAGTCTGACCATGTCACTTCCCACCAGTGGTTTCTTATTAGCTCTATAATAATATGCAAATTTCTCAACTTGGCATCTAAAGCCATCACAAACTGTTTTTGATCTATCTTTCTAGACATTTTATGTCATACCTATGTCTTTTTAGATATATTCCATCTCCCTCTTCCTCCTCTCTCTTCCATCCAAACTGGCTTACTTATTTTTCCCAGAATTCGGCATTCCATTTCCTACCTCCAGCTCTAGAGGCTATTCTCTATACCTGGAATGCACCCTCCTTCAGAATCCTTAGCTTCTTTTCAAGGCACTACTTGGGTGCTATATCCTAAAGGAATCCTTTCCTTATTCCCTTGATTATTCGTATTGTGTCCCTCCTCAAATTATATTACTATTTGTTTAAATGTTGTATCTCCTCTCCAGTAGAATACAAGCTTCTTGAGGGCAGGGGTTGTTTTTTCTGTTTTGTCTTTTTTTCCCCCAGTGCCTAGCACAGTGCCATGCATGTAGTAGGTGCCTAATAAATCCTTATTGAATTTTATTC